GTGCTGCCGTGCTGAAGATTGCGCATCGACTCTCGAGGCGCCGCGACTCCGGGAATTGGTCCCTGCATGAGCCTCCGATCGCCCCACTGCACAGTGCAGACTCCACCGTCCACGGAATCCGGATGCGTTCTCAGAGTCAGGAAACGAATGCAGAGGGAGCATATGGTGCCCGGCCCACGGCGTAATTTCTCGTTCATCTAGCTGGAGCTACGGTAGGTACCTACTCACTAAACTCTAGTACTAATGGTGCTTGACAGTGATCTTCGTTAGGTGTTTGCTGTGTGTTGCTAGACACTTAAATCAGATCACCAAAGCTTCACGGGCTATCTGAAATATATATGTTCTTTTCATGCCGCTGACTCTTCGTCTTCGCTGGTCCTTCCGCCAGTCTTGTAGCTCCCATCTACGGTATTAGTATCAGATGAATATCAGACTAGTAGCGAGCCTCTAAAAAGAATTCTAATTCTCGATCACAGTGTTCCCATAGATCCCGGGTACGTTTTGCATGCCATAGCACTGGTCTGAGATTTCTGGGACTCTAGGCGGCCGTAGTTGAAGCTGCCAACTCAACGTAGTACCCACTGCAGTCTCTTCGGAGGTTGCATGCCCCATGGCTCAGTGCATGGCTCAGGGTCAATATGACCATCCCATCAATAAGCATTGCATAGGATGCAAACGAGCTTAGGTACGTATATGTAGCACAGGCTATATTGCAATACCGACGTGGCAATACCTAAACAAGTCATATCGCTGCAGCAGTCACTGAGAGCTCTTGATTTAAGTAATTCCGCCTCAACCCACGACTGCCTATAGCAGTTAGATTCTCCTGTTGAGCTCGATGGCTATTATAGAGACGGAGAGTCATATAGAGTCATAGAGAGTCATATAGAGACGGAGAGTCATTTTGTATATGATTGCTCGGGTTATAGTGACATTCGAACGACCTTTCAGTTTCTATTCGAGGACAGACGAAATAGAGACTTGAAAGCTTTTCTTTACTTGCAGGACACATATGTGGTAGGTAAATTCGTGCATCTTGCTTTAGATAAGCGAGCTAGCGTAATAGGACAATCGTCGACTTAGCCGATCACGGCTCCGAACCGACGCTAATCAAACAATAACAATTATACGAATCAGCGGGCTATACTGAGGTTTACTAGGTGAATCTGGCGCCATAGGAATCTGAGGGCTTTATGCATATGCACAAGCCGATCTTATAGGACGGTCGATAATTCTCACCACATGGTGTGTTCCCCGATGTCAACGCAATGTGCGGTATATTTATTGTGAATCTGTAATGTCAAATTTTTAACAATTGCGCGCTTATAACAACATTATCGATATGAACAATGGTGGTCATCATAGGTCATGACGATTGTTATCAAGCTAGGACCTATACAGGAGTTACATCGCAATCCAATCAGTGATTCATAGTCAGTCTGCAATTGTGACATGTATCTATGTAGATTTGGTGATATTCAGCAAGAGCCATGGGCACTCCATGAGTTCCTTCTGTGGATGCGTTCACTAGAATTTGCGCTTCACCGTTGCCGGCGTTTTCGACAACTGTGTGCAACGAAGGACCATATCTGATATGAATTGCGTGCAAGCTTAAAACTTCGAGTCCACAGGTGCTCTAGCACATGGTTGCACATGGGCGTACTTGGTATAATAACTTTTTCGTAACCAACGACCTGGATCTTCGCCCATTGCGTTTCAAGCAATGATACTATCGACTGATCTTTTCCCTCTCCTTCAGAAGCAAGCTCAAAAGTCTCCGTGATTCCGCGATGCTTTTGCAAGGTCGCCCGCTATGAGCGGACTCAGCTTTCAATTTGAATGGTCACATGGTCGATCTTATAAATAGAGCTGCACAATTCTGAAGCCTCCCTAAGAACCTGCACCAAAGAGCAAGGCAACTACTTATCAGAAGCTGACAGAGAAATTCGAAGCAGCTCACGGAAACAAGATGAGGAGCCGAGATGAATCTCAGCAGCACGGGCCAGGACATCCCTACGACCGCTCCTCGTCCGCGCGGCTCACCTTTCTTGTGTCCGCGCCCTGCTTCGCTGCCACGTGGCACGTCAGCGCGTTCTTCCCAACTGAGAGCGCCCAGACGTGCAGGCGGTGCACCCCGCGCACCCCGTCCAGCTTCTGCAGGGCGGCCTCGAGTGCGTCGGCGTCCACGTCGTGTGGTGTGGCCTCCATCAGGATCTCCACAATGTCGCGCACCATCTTCACGGTCGTCCCCACCACCAGCGTGCTGAACAGGAACGTACACGCCAGGTCCACCGCGCGCCTGCCACACACAACCGCCGGTCAGCCCGAGCACCGCGCTGGCCCTCTGCGAAAATGCAAGGACGGCCGCAGCCCAGGGAAAAGGCGCCCAGGCGGCAGCTTGGGGCCGGCCCTGTCTCCGGGTGGGGGAGACAGGGCAGCGAGCTTGCAATGGAGCACAAGCGCTAGCTGCACCGAGAAAACCGTTGGAAGGTGGGCAGATCCTGCAGCAGCCCGCAAAGCGACCTCTCATATTAAGGACTCGAGCTTGGGGCGACCTCTCATTCTAAGGACTTGAGCTTGAGAGTAGTGGCTTTTGCAATATGCATATTTGCAGCAGGGGGCTCACCAGTCGGGCCTGGCCCAGATGATGGCGCCCGCCACCATGACCCCCACCGACTGCACCAGGTCCCCCACCACGTGCACAAACGCGCCCCGCAGGTTGATGTTCTGCTTCCGAGGGGTGTGCCCGTGGGCCCCCTTACACCCCCCGCTACTATGTACATGGGCCCCCCCAGGGCCCTCGCTTGGCGAGAAGGACGGGTCCAGCTTGCCTGCCAGGTACGCGGGGGCATCCGACAGGAGCTGCAGCGGGCTGAAGAGCGGCGTGAACGCATCCGCGTCGCTGCAGTTGTGGCAATCCGGGGCCTCCGTCGCGGCAGACGCTGGAGCCTCCCTGTGGCCGTGCCCCTTGGCCGGCTCCTTGTGGCCACATGAATGGAAGTGGGAATGCGGATGGGGGTGGTGGTGGTGAGAGTGCGGTTGGACTGGGGGATGGGCGTGGCTGTGGTGCGCCGCTGTACCATGCCCAGCCTCGCAACCGGTGTGCTGCTGGTGCTGGTGAGAATGCGTATGCGGGGAGTGCTGGCCCGCAGGACCCTCCGCTGTTGCGCTGCTGAGGTCGCCCTGGCCGGCTTTCGAGCTAGGCGGGCCAGCGCTGGGGGGGTGCTCGTGCCGGTGGCCCTCGGAGTGGTGCCCTGTGCACGCTTGTCCAGCTGACGTGAGGGCCTTTTGTACACCATGGTCCGCCGCTGGCTCTGTCCCATGGTTGTCATGGCGGTGCACGACCACGGCCACGTCCTGGCCCGCGATGCCATCGGCAGCGGGCAGCACCACCGACGCCATCTCCACAAAGGAATCCTTCTCTGAGGTGGGCTCCTCGGTGTTCTCCAGCACAGCATACCCAGTACGCACAGGCTTGTTGGGCGAGGGCGGTCCCGCATAGCTGTCCACCGCATGCGCGTGGGCGTGATCGTGCCCGTGGCTGCACGCTTGGCCGGGCAGGCCGTGCGAGTGGTGCTCCGACAGCAGGACCGCCATGGCCACATTGACCGCCACACCAAAGGTGGCCGTCAAGAACATGACGCGCCCGTTCACATCCTCGGCGCTGTACAGCAGCCTGCGCGCACAACAGCAGGGGGCAACCCAGGGTCAGAACCGGGAGCAGGAGGGCAGGCAGGAATGGCAGGGCAGCACGCAGGTCCGTCGGGACACCTCCGCAGTGCCCACCACTTGGGACAGGCTGCCAGGTGCTTTGAGGCCCTGGTGCTGCCAACTCTGAGGAGGCTGGCAGGGAGAATACAGAGCTGTAGTCCATCCTAACCAACCTTCTCCCAAGGCATCTCAGAGTCCTTGACTTTATAAGTGGACACCAAGCCTTGAAAGATGAGAGTATCTCGTGGGCGGACAAGGCGGACAGTCAACCCCCGTCCCTCTGCTTGCCGCGGCGGTCTCACCTGGTGATGGCCTCCACAATGATGAAGCCAGTGATGGCCCAGGTCATGAGCACAGAGGCCAGGGCACCCAAAATCTCCATGCGCTGGTACCCATATGAGTGCCGCCGTGTGGGCCGCCAGCTAGCACCCCACAGCGCAAACAGGGACAGCGCAAAGCCTGCGCCAGGAACAGGGCCAACAGTCAGAGGAGGGGGCGGGCACAATTACAATCAACAACAACCAACTGCCGAGGGCCATCACGTCCGGCGTCACTGCTTCTGGGCGGCAAGTTTGTTCAGCAAACTCGTTCTGCCTGTCAAGACCAGCTGCGGCCGGCTGCTCTTTCCTGGGCACCAGGCTTGCCCCCCCGACAGGCAGGGACAGGCTTCCTGGGGCAGCGGAGGGGGGTAGGCACTCACCTGCGACGTCGGAGAGCAGGTGTGCTGCATCCGTCAAGATGGCCAGGCTGTTGGACAACACGCCTGCACGCGCACACACGAGGATTAGCGTCAGGATCACTATGCTTTACACAGCATAGTGAAGCCTTGTGGCCCCGGCTCAGGGGCACCAATCTGTTGGACCACCCAATCTCGTCAGTGCAAAGTTCAGTCAAAACTCGGGGGTAGCCTGGATTGCCAAGCAAGCTGGGGGCAAGAGCTACCCATCTCTCAAGATGTGTCCGCAAACTCATGCAGCGCGTAAGACTACAAGCTTCGAAGGTCAGGAATGTGTGGATGTGGGCATTGAGCACGCGCAATCCAGTGCAGTGATGCCCATGAGGACACAACTGACGCACTGACACACACTACGCACTGACACACACTACGCACTGACGCAATGTTTGAACGGGCTGTCGTGGATGATATGACAGCCGGCGCTGGAACTGAAGCCAAAAGAGATCCAAACAAACATCACATATTGACATCGTTCTGATATGGATGACTTGGACAGGACTTGAAGCGCAAAGAAAATGAGCATCGCACCTCTGTGCTTTTGGAGGCTGCACATTTGAATTTCGATGTCTCAGTTTCTCCAGTATGTGAGCTGGACGAGGCGTTGGACGAAGAACCGTCTAAAGGCTGATCTCTTGGGCGTGGACATCCAGTGTTCACACGAGTCTCTGACTTGTGGCTTGCCACAGAAGTACAGAGGCCCATGCTGAGAAGGGCAGCCAGTGGCAGGGCCACCAGAACATCGCCCTTCCACCCGCGGTACGCAGCTGGGGTCAGGGCTGCGGCCACGACAAAAACTAGAGGGACCCGACCAAAGGAAAAGGCAATGCCAAGGGGGAAGCGCCGATATGAGGTCAGGGGTACAAGAGGGGAAGGGTCGTGGTCGGCGGCAGGGGGGGCCCCTACCTCCCACCACCTCGATCCCCATGAAGAGGCAGCACAACACAATGGCCCAGCTCAGCTTGCGCCACACGCGCTCCCGCTCCACAACATCACACCCATCGTCCCTGTCCTTGCTCAGCAGACAGTCTGCACAAAATGAGGTCAGCATGTCGGCATTGCTGGCTGGCAATAAGACACCTGACACCAGGCCCACGCCTGAGAGCAAAGTCTCTCACACAGCAATTCGGGGCGAAATGGTTGCAAGCAAAGGAGGCAGTGCTGAAAGGTGTTACGGGGGCTGTGCTGCCTCATGCTGGAACAAGAAAGTGAACATAATCTGGTCAGAAGCTCGCTCGCTCAAAAAAGGGGCAATTGTTTCAAGGCAGCACGAGCTCTCCCCATGTGCATCGCAGCCAGGCTGCAGGCCACATCAGGAAGGGCCAGCCCGCCTGTCTGATCTTGAATCAGTGTTGAGGACCCATGAGCCTTCACCAAGAGAATTTGAGGAACAGCATCCTACACAAAGTCTTTGTCAACTTGCCACTTTGGCAGCTCAACGACATTTGAAAATTATGATTGTCTTGTTGCCACCCGCTCTACAGGCTGCCACTCCTGAGCTGCACCCGAGCGCAGCAGCTGACATTCTTGTTGCTCAGCCTCCTGCTTGCACGCACCTGACACAGAGTTGGCAGGCAGATCCGCCAGCTCCTCAGCCTCAGGCGCAGCTGCTCCACGGTGCTGCTCCCACCCGTCGACGTGCTTGCCAGCAAGAGCGCAGTCCCCTTGTTGCACTGCCTGTGTGGCAGGCAAGCTGCCTGCTTCCATATCCCCGTGCGGGACAGGCATGTGGTCCCCAGGCCGGCTTGGCAGCGACAGTCCAAGGACCATGGCAAGATGCAGATCACAGAAGAATGCGGACTCAGATCACACCTCAATCAACACATTGCAGCAGCTCATGATACGGCCACCTCTTCCTTCCGCTCCCCTCAGTCATTGTGCAGGCACTGATCAGCTGGCATCCAGCACAGCCCCTCAAGCTGGCCACCACCGACGATCCATCATCATCCACAATGACCAGCGCCTCTGCATCTTGTCTGCCCCATGCAGAGCGCAGAGCTACCTACTACAGTAGTATCAGCTGGAACAGAAAACCTGGAGCCGCTTCGAGATCCTGACGCCTGCACGACAATGTGCCCCATGGTTTCTACCTAGGTGTGCATGATGACCAGCCTGTTGCGCATTTCACAGCCTGCGAACTGCGAGTCCAGGCTAGGTCTAGACGTCTAGCCTTGACTCTAGACTCTAGGGGGCAAATTCTGAGCACTGTCGGGAGCGACCAAATCCCAAGATGCCGCATCTTTTCAAAGGTACCTACCGCAGAACCTACCTACCCACCCGTACTAAGTGGCACGACCTTTTCGCACCAGAAATACAACATTTTTGGCCTTGTGTATAAACTTTGCCAAACTACCGTATAGGGTATACCTATGGAGCAAAGAATTGTCTGGTTAAGGCTTGGTTTGAGACTTTGAACATGGGTCCTGATAACAAGGATGTGAAAGAAAGTAATTGTTCAAAACAGCGTGGTGTGATAAGCTTGTGCCACTACGGTAGCCGGGGCCATAGGTGACGGTGATAGGTCCCCTATATCAGCGCCACTGGGCTGGTACTAGGTACCGGTATCTCATTTGTAACGTAGAAACCCGTGGGCTGCACTGCGTTACCGCCGACCGGTACCGTGGCCGCGGCCATGCAGTACTGAGTAGGTATCTACCGTAGCTACAGCCTTTGGTACCTACCTACCTAGGTACCTATGTCTTCATTGAGGCACCGCATGCAAGCGAATTGGCAATTGGCAATGGGCATGAAACTGACTGGAGCTCGAAGCCGGGTCATATGTCACCTTTGCACAATGCAGGTTCATTGCATTCTGATATCGGCTGAACTCATCGTAGTCTGACTGTGTGACACATCCCTGACACATCTTTCAGCAATGCATGGGGGGTGCATGGGATACCTCAATCAACTTGGCACTCCGGTTTGCAGCATGGATGGCGCCTGGCAGGCATGAATGAAGTTATGCCGGCTGTGTGCGGTTAGGAAGGAGTTGCCTTGTTCCCAACCTAGCGCGTATACAGCAGTTCTGCGTTGTCCATTTGGACATATCAGTTAGGATACCCCTGTGACATGGCGGACGTCGGACTCCGGCATCTTCACCACGTCTTCACTGTCACTTCACTGTACAGTACTAATGGACTCGGACTCACCCCAAGTCCGATCCTCTCACGGGTCTCTCACTAGCTAAGGCTCTTCTGTCGCGTGCCAGTGTTCCGAAGTTCCTCATTTTCCCCCGGGGTTGCAACTCCCGTTTAAAACATCGAAAGATGTCATGTGCGGAGTAAAACACCCCATTTGGCTTGCTTCGCCCGTGCCTCAAAGACGTTTTAGGTTTTTATTTAGAATTTATAGGCTTTTCTTGATTTTCGTGCACAAACCATCCATCGAGATTGAAAGCAATTAGCTTATCGCGAAAATATCCCCTGTTTTAAAACGGCAAAACAACTACAGTAAAACGTTTTAAAATGAAATCTGCTTAACATAATTGGGTAAATAACCTCGTGATCCGATAGAAGCCTGTGCATGATCCGATAGAAGCCTTTGATGTCATGCTCAGCTCAAATGGTAGTACTCACTTATTGCAAATTTTGTCCGGAGAAAGTTGCATTGCATTTTTGTCGAACTTGCCATATAGCTGCCTCTGCGGCAGGCCGGGGATATCGATCATAGTTATCTTCCTGCCACGTGGTTGAATCCAAACCGTGTACGATGGCTCCTGGCAAAACGGCTGAGGGGGTACCAAGGCGGCCAATAAGTGGTGGTTGAAACACAAGAGCTCGTCGAAAATCCACCCAAGGGATGAGCATGGGAGGCCAGGCCTAGAGTTGAGTCGACGACGCCTATCACCATGTGCAAAATCTTCGATCCACGTCGCTGCTCGAACATCATGGTCGCTACATGTTGGACTCACTCATCGTTTAGTCGGTTAAGTCTAGCCTTTCAGTCCTGACATGGAATATGCGAAGGAATTTGTGAACCTTCCTTTGCGGCGCGGCAAACAGCGGAATTATTTTTCTACAATGTGAAAAGAATTGTACGCTTTCAATGCATGGCTGCCTTTCAGCTCCGCGGCCGACAGATTGGCTAAACAAAACACCAGCACGACTGATAAGGTTTTTAGTGAATGACTCCTCCAATACGAGTAACCAAGGGAATTTATGAGGAATTGCAAGAACGTCTGGCCGGATAAACGTTCCTTAACCATTGGCCAGATGAGTGGCGTCGAACAGCTATGTCTCGGAGCGAATTTTGGTCGGCGAGTCTCTGCCCCACCGTTCCACGCGCTTTCCATGAGCAATACCGACCTGTTACTGCATCAGCACATCGTCTCTTGTGACATACGGACTTTGAAGAATGCAACTGGTGCATCATCAGATCATCTCCTGCCTTTCCTTCCCCCGCCTCTTCCCCCTCCTCCCCGACCCCCGCCCCGCCCCCCTCCCCGCCCCCTTCCCCGCCCCCTGCCCCGATCCCCTGGAAGCTTGAGCGCCTTGACCCCCCGCTGGCCCTGCCGTCGGTTTCTGTCCCCGCCCTCCTCCCGCCCCAGCCCCTTTCCCCGCAGCTCCCCATCGTCTTTGGTGCGCGCCACAAACGTTGTCTCGCGGCTGCCCCCCACTCTCGCGCCCGGCCCTGCCGCTGCGTCCGCTTGCTGCCGCGCCACCCGCTCCCCCAGCGTCTCATTGGCTGCCGCGGCCAACGACTGCCCCCGGAGGAAGGCGGCCGCGTGCCGCTCGTCCCGCACCTCGTACATCCTGGAGCACACGCGCACAGGCAGAGCGTCAGCGAGCCGCTAGCCAGGCCAGGCATGGCGCACCAGTTGCGCACGCCGAGGCTGGTGCGAGGAGGGCCCTCTTCTTTTCCCGGAGCATCCCAACGCGTGCAAGAAGTCCTGCACGGGGTAGAGCCTGGCGCAGTCCCTGTCCAACTCGACCATGGGCGGCCCATACGGTGAACAATACCACAGAGGAACTGCCAAGCAGCCTGGCAGTGCTCTCTCCGAACGGCCATAGCCTTTGCGCCTCAGAGGTACAGCCCTCGAGGGCAGTGGAGCCGATTATGTCATTGACGAGAAGACAAAAGGGGGTGTTCACTTCTTGTCCCGGCTCTGATGTACTGAAGAAGTCGTCAGACATCAGCATTCCCGCCCAAAGAATAAGACGGAGCCGGCCGCTGAGCCGGCTACTAAGCCGGTGCGATCCTGCCAGCCCCTCACGTCGGCTGTCTTTGTGTTTCTCCCTCACCTGGGCCCCTCTTGCGACGCCGCTTTGCCCTCTCCCGCCCTTTTGCTCTTGCTTCTGCGCACGTCCTCCTCCGGCTCGCTGCCCGCATCGCTGCCGGTGTCGCTGCCGCTTTGCTGCGCCCGAGGCGGCTCGTCGTCGGAGTCGACGTCCTGGAAGTGCTCCTCGAGCAGCGCGCGCTCCTTGGCGTGCCGCTCCGGCGCGTTGGGGTGCAGCGCCTGGTACTCCTCCGACGCAGGGTCGACCGCGAACGCCTGCCACGCACGCCAACGAGAGCAAAGGTGAGCCGCGGAAAGGCACGTCAGGGCACGTTGTTGTGGCAAAGGAGAAATCGGCGGCTGGAAGCACCAGCGGCAGGGACAAACGGGGGCGCTGACCTCAAAAGTGGCTTGCATGGGCTCTTGCAAGTGTCACCTACTTCTGCAGAACGGGTAATCTGGTTCTCTGAGCGAGAAAAGATAAAGTGCTACAAATGGCCATCGAAGTAGGGCTGTGGTAGGGGTCAGGGTCTGGTGAGACCCCCTTCACCCCAAGGGAGCAATTCACAGCTCGCACCCCTCGGTGGGCGGCGCGGGGTTGCTTTTTGGCGGAGACTGATTCGGAGCATATGCATCCCGGAGGTGCGAGGCTGCGCGGCGCACCTGGTCCTTGAAGAGTGCAGCAAAGCGGTCGTCCTCCAGCAGGCTGGGCAGGCCCCGGGCCTTCTTCCTGGCGGGCGCCCGCGCGGCCTCGCCCGCGTCGTCGTCGCTGGCGGCGGTGGCCGCGTCCTGGTCCAGCAGCAGGCGCGCCGCCATCTCCGGGTTCACGCGGGGCAGCCGCCGCTTCACCTGCACCGCAGCGCAGCACACCGCGACTCAGGACCACTCCGCGGCAGCAGTGCCGGCAGATTAGGGAGAGGAGTACATTGACAGGAGCAAGCAATCCTGGTCTTCAAGCAAAGTATTGAAAACCACCCGGTAGGCTGTAGCGCTCCAGTCATCCAACGGCTTCCGCACCGCAGAAATCAACAGATTTGTCGATTTCTGCTCCCGGCGTGGCGAGCTCACCGTGATCCTGGCGGCACGCTCCGCGTCAATCTTGGCCTGCACGCGCTCCTCGCGGTAGCGGTCGTACGCAAACGGATCCGCCAGGTCCTTCGCCTGCACAGCAGCCCCGCAACAGGTCAGAGAAGATCGGGGCATTCGAGGGGACAAGCGCGCAGCCCGGACCAGCGCCGGGCTTGAAGCCCCGACTGGCATCCACCTCGGCTCCGAACCTCGTGATAAAATCCCGTAATCGAACATCTTGAGGGTTTATCCATCAACGCTCTACCTCACAGACCACGAGTCACCTTGGCAAGCCCCTGTGATGAGCATGCCAGCAATCGCAACTCCGGGAACAAAGTATGATACCGGACGGCCTTGACGCAGTTAGGTTCATCAGGGTTCGCCTGCCTTGGCCGCGCTTCGGGGGTGCGCTGACCTTGTTGTAGAGGCGGTGGTCGATGAAGAAGCCGTGCATGTAGGCGCGCAGCAGGTTGCTCCCCACCAGGTGCGCCAGGCCCAGCGTCGCCAGCTCGGCGCGCGTCACAAACTTGTAGTCCTCGTACACGCCGCCGCCCGCAGCCTCCTCTAGCTCCTCCTGCAAGCCCCCGCACACGTCCACCTCGTCAGCACCGCCAGTCTGAATACGCCAGCGCAGCGCACCACAGAGCATGCGCGCAGGCCCCCGAGCAGGCACCCTGAGGCTGGACGCCCTTCGAAATGACGGAAAACGGGCCACGGGGTTCGCAGGGGGCGCTGATCGACCAAACAGAATCCTTCTAAGAAGGGACTTTTTCCAGGGAAGTAATGCGCTCGATGCTTCAAACACCAGGCAGCCAAGTCGAAGTTGGAACGAAGCAGGCAGCAGGCTGTCACGTAAAGCTTTCTGCGTGCCCTGCCATTCCGACTACACAAGTGTTCTAGACCGAAATAGTGCAAAGCGTTTAGAGCTATATCCGTCAATCTTGGAATTCGGATCTGGCGATCTCCAAGCAGTGGCCTTTTGAATGAAATACCACGCACAAGCTTTCGGTGTTCGCCTTTTAGCGGAGATTTTAACGAGACCTCATTTTCAATGGGCAGATATGCACGGGACTGCGCAATGAGGATGACACGGACTGCAACGGGGCGGAAACCCTCACGGTGAGGTTGTCAAGGAAGGAGCACCAGCGCGGGGCGGGCCCCAAGGCGGGGATGAAGTAGTTCTGCAGGCGCGGCGCGTCCAGCGCCAGCAGGAGGAGCCCGCTGTCGCGCAGCACGCACACGTCATTAATGTCGCCCCCGGCAGGCTCGATGCTGCTCAGGTTGTCGCCCTGCGCACCGCCGTCAGCAGCAGCGTCAGCACACGCGTGGCACCATGACGAGATGACGGGCTGCACCGGGCAGCAGACGGCAGGAAGCCCGGGGCAGCCTCCCAGCCCTGACTCGCCCCCACAAAGGCTGACCCGCAAATGAGGAACTGCCTATCTGTCCCGCGCGCCCTGACCAGGGCAATACGACCTTGGTAGTCGTGAGCAGATTTTAAACAGGAGTCTTCAGATCGGAAGCGAGGCTCACAGTTGTAGGATCCCAGATTTTGGCAATCTTGGTGTCTGCGGAGATGATGTGGCGCTGCCCGCTGGCGAGCGCAGTGTGGTACTTGATGTCCACAATGGGGCAGCCGTACAGGTGGTCCTTCACGCGCACCGGCCGCGACGACCGCACGTCGTATACCAGCACCTGCGCCCCACCGCACGCACCGAGCTGACATGGCAAAGGCAACGCAAGGGAGACAGGACACGTACAACCACTTATGGAAGATGATAGATATGATGCTGAGAAAGCCTCGCCAAGGTAGAAACTTTCCTGGTTGTTGTCAAGAAGATGAGAGGCTGGCGCTCCTGGCTGCGCTGACACAGAAGATGTGCAACTTGTTCTGCAAAGAAGGCCGTGTGCCTGCTGCCGGCCTCCTGAGCCCGTTGCGCTGGCTGGCTGCGCACCTGCCCCCCGCTGGTCCCCACCGCGAGCGCCAGCCCGTCCTGCTCCTCAAAGCGCAGCGCCGTCACCTGCTGCCCCGGCCCCGCAGGCCCTGCCGCGTCAATCCTGCCCACCGCCTGCCGCGAGCGCAGGTCAAAGCACTCCAGCGCACCGTCCTCGCCCCCGCACGCAATAAGCCCGTGCGCAGGGCTGCGCCCCACGACGTTGACCCCCGGGGAGCGCGTGGTGAGCGGCGCCAGGAAGCGGCCCTGCTCCAGGTTCAGGCGGTACACCTCGGGGGACGACGCCGCCGCCAGCAGGTCGCACGACCAGCGGTCGTATGTCAGCGCACGGCCAAACTTGGGGATGCGCGTCTTGTAGTAGGCGCCAAAGCGGGCGTGGAACTGCAGCGTGCGATCCGCACACAGGAACGCCAGCTTCGAGTAGTCATCGCCCAGGACCTGCAAGACAGCAAGCCAGCGGATGGTCCCGTTCATCATTTGTGGAGTGTGCGGTCAAGAGTCATAGTCAGCAAGAAGGAGCGCGACACAGCACCAGCCCCACCTGGAACTTGGCAAAGCTGACAGGAACCAGCCGGGCAACTCTGTAAAGCACAAGGTGCGTTTTGGTGGTGCACCCGCACCTGGAAGTCCACAATCTCCGAGTCAAGGTGGCGCTCAAACTTCATGGACAGCTGGCTGAACTCGTACACGCGGACCTGCGGCGGGTACACCCCGGAGACCACCAGGAAGTTGTTGTCGGGGGTGGCCTTGACGCGCGTGGCGGCCGTGTCAAAGGACAGGTCCTGGATGAGCTCGATGCGCCGCAGGTAGCCCTCATCCTTCTGCAGCGCGCGCCGCTTCTTCTCCGAGAGCCACTGCGGCACGCTCTTGCCCCCCGAGATGTTGTACACTTTCACGCCGTTGTGGCTGGCCGCCACGCGCAGGCTGCCATAGCCGTCCATGGCGAACGACAGGTGCCACTAATGCAAAAATCAATCGAATCCTACTGGCGCTGGGCGAATTGACGCGCAGCCCACCCTAGTTTTCTGTGCTACTTCTTAGCGTCCTTCTTCTTGTGGACTGGCGCTTTCCTGGTCTTGGCAAACTCCCCAAACTTGTGGCCCACCATGTCATCGGCGACCTTGATGTTGATGAACTTCTGCCCGTTGTGGATGGAGAACACCTTGCCCACAAACTCGGGCAGCACCGTGGAGCGCCGCGACCAGATCTTGAGCCGCTGTGCCGCTGCCGCCAGCCGCTCCGGTTTCAGCAAAAAAGCGTCCACGAAAGGGCCCTTCCAGATGGCCCGAGGCATGGCGATTGCCAGGACGACGAGTCTTCTCCTACAATGAGCTCAAGCTGAAGGCCAAGCTGCGTGCATGAGACGACCCCTGAATTCCGATCGCACAGTTTCTCTCGAAGTGCTCAAAATTCGAGACTCGAGAGTCAAATGCCACTAGTAGTACTTAGTACTCTAGGGCACATGCGTCCTATCATGAAACTGACCCATTACCGATCGGAAATGGTTATTTGTACCCACCAAGTGGCTACAAGGCAGAGCAAATGTATTTCAAGGTTCTGGACACTCCGGCCGCAAGCCTTGTAATAAGCACGCTTACATTGCATCAGCTGTCAAACCTGTACCTAGTCACAGGGGATGCGGCCAAGCTCAGGTACGCTGCTAAAACGCTCTTGGAAACCTGCGTCCATGCCTCTATGTGTGCTCATTTGTATGTAGCTCAAGAATATGCGGGAAAGCGCGTCTGCAATTGCCAGAAGAATGTTTAGGATCTTGCAATCCTTGGATATTCTGTAACTCCATGAGGATGTTGCGCAAACGATCTTTATCCCTTCAAGCTAGGGAATAGCCGCCAGAGGGAAATTCTTGTGCTAGGCCAAACCTGCTAGGGGACTGGCGTGCGCTTAACGGTCTTCTCTGATTTGCTCCAGGAATGCTCACAAGCGGTGGAAGAAGCTGCTGGTGGCTCACAAGGTTCCTGAGGACACCCTTATCTACTGCCAGTATCATGATAGCAGGGCGGACTTCCTACGGACCCAAAGAGAGTTCAAAGAAGCCGTCGAGCACCGGGAACAAGCGATGGCGATCTACGAGAGTGCTTATGGTGCGGACTCGTGGCTGCTTAACCCTTGACAAGCTGGTCAACCTGGCTAAACTCTCCATGGATCAGGTGCGCTTGCAAACCCTTGACAAGCTACAGCGTTGCAGATACCTCGTTGGGAGAATTGCCACACTCTGCAAAGTGACAAAGAGCGAGTGAAGTATTCGGAATGAGACTGAAGACGTTCTTTCAGAAAGCTATGTCGTCTTGAGGAGACTACGCAGGTAATCAAGCGTTAGTTGGTCAGACCCACACATTTTTTGTCGCACAATGATACAAGGCTCTGGCGTGTGCATCCCAGCTGCCTGCTGGACCAGGTGGCCCCGTGGCCCTGGCAGGCTTCCGAGGTTCATGCGGCCCCGGCCCGCCAGCTGAGTGGCAGCTGCCTGGCTTTGCCAAGCAGGTACTGTGGTTCACGTCTGAAGGCCTGAGGTGGACCTGACAGTGAGGGCACTGAGGCCTAGGCCCGAGGTGGCGAGGGAAGCTGGTGGAGATTGGAACTCAGGACCGGGTGCGGGCTGTCGTCCAGCTGGCGAGGCACATTTGCAGCCGAGTAACGTGCTTGGGGTGGCGGCAGAGCTACCACCGAGGTCGACGCAGCTAGGGAGGAGCTCAAGGGGCCATGCAGAGGGCAGACCCGGATGAGGAGCTGGAAGGCAGCATCTCATTCGATGGCGAGTGGCCGCCGGGACCCGTCCTGGGGGCCAAAGAGCGGGGCAGGATGGGCAGCACCGCACCCCGTAAGTGCCGCGCACACCGACTGACTCTTGCGTCTTAGGGATTCGACACTGAATGAATCTTGGGACCTGAGGGCCAGGGCGCGCAGACTAAGTGGTATTCTGCAGTGTTGGTCACGGTATGCAGGCCGCGCATAACTGTTGAGAGTAGGAGTCGGACAAAGGGTGGTGGTGCAAGTGGACCAGGCGTCATGGCTGCGCGCATTGTTACAAGTGGTACCCCCAAATAGAGTTGCCGTTGACAGCGGACCATTGAAGCTGCAAGCAAGTGGGGCGCGCTACCTGAATGAAGTCCGGCTCTTGCACTTCTACCACTAGCAGAAGCGTAAGTGCTGTCTGAGGGCAGTGCATGTAGACAGACTTGGTCAATGCTATGTGTCACTCAAAACAAAGTTCGTGGTAGCCGGCTAGGCAGCCATGGATTCCCACAAACCATGTTCAAAACCGTGTTGCAAACCTGAGACCTGGTTTGAACATTCCCTGTTTGCAGCCCACGGTTCAGAGCAAACCAAACCTGCCGCAAGACTCGGAGCAGAATTCGATATTGCATCTGCAAAGCCACTGAAGCCGAGCAGAACAATCGCAATGTAAGCCCTATGGAGTACTTTCTGTCCCATAAAATGCATAATCGGCAGCAGCTGGCGAGGGCATTAGCGGCATGGCTCCCTGTGGTGCCAATCTGTTTATGACCACTGCGAAGATCAATCCGAATTGCTCACCTGCGCCCCAGTACCCTCGCTGCATGAGACAGGACCACCGTGCTGAAAGGAGCCGTGCAGCGTGTCCTCCTCACCCCCTGCGTCTCGCGTGCCCCAGGTCCCCGGGGGTGGAGGCCTACTGCGTGCGCTTCTCCCCCGACGGCACCCTGCTCGCGGTGGCCACCAGCGTCGGCACAGTGGAGGTGAGCCGCCGCGGTCCACCCGTGGTGGAGCCAGGCAAATAACCGAGTCCGCACTGTGACCGTGGTCCTTCTGAAAGCAAAGCTGACCCATTTGCGCATTCCTTGATCCTGCATGGGGACACCAGAGCTCCTTTTGACCCTCACTGATGGGTATGCCCTGACCTGCGTGCCACCTCTTTGCATGGCGTTCCGGTCCCCTTGGCTCATCCCCCTTCCTCACGGTGCCCCCCCTGCGCTCCTGTGCTTGTCTGCGTGCAGCTGTTCCGCACCGTTGACGGGGCCGCGGCGTGCACCCTGGACCCTGGGGGCAAGCGCGAGCGGCGGCCGTGCACCGCCCTCTGCTTCCGGCCCAGCTCCGGCGGGGAGCTCACCAAGAATGTGCTCCTCACAGGAGGTGGGCCATGCGTGCTCGGCAGACGCGCACAAGGGCCAACCGCCAGCTATTCAGCCGCTGTTCGATAAAACGAAAGTGCGCAATGAGACGATGATGAGCAAACCCGGTCTTCTGAAGTTAGGCCCCTGTGAATTCTTAGCACGCTCAGCAAGTCAGTAGGCTTCTTGAGAGTCGACCCGAGCTTCGACAACTGTGAAGGGCCCCTCCTCTGAAGCCTCGCTTGCACCTGCAGATGCCCACGGAGACCTGCGGCACTGGCACGCCACGTCGGGCGCGTGCTTGAGCAGCCTGCACGAGGCGGGCAACCAGGTGCTGAGCGTGGCCTACCGCGCAGACGGCCAGCTGTTTGCGTCTGCGGGGCTGGACTGCGCGGTGCGCGTCTACAGCGAGGTCACCCGCACGTTGCTGCACACCCTCGCACACGGGTGAGCACGTCGGCCCGCGACCAACCTGGGCGTCTTGCAGTGATGTCCTGCCCCTGTCACGGGTCTCTCTGCCCTTTTCTCTGAGGTGCGGGCCAGAGTGAAAGCTGCGCGGGCCATAATTGTAGATGCTTACGTCCGCTGTAAAATCCAGCAATCCAGGGGTCCTAGCCAAGAGCTCCCGCAGGTCGTGACCCGGCAAGCCTCGCGTGTGCGGAGGAGTCGCCTCCCCCCACTAGCGCCGCCCGCCTGCTTCGCTGACCCCGGCGGTGGTGGTGGGTGCAGGGACGGCAAGACGACGGCGGGCCACTCGAACCGCGTGTTTGCGGTCAAGTTCCACCCCAGCGAGCCGCACCTGCTGGTCAGCGGCGGCTGGGACAGCACGGTGCAGGTGTGGGACCTGCGCGAGGGCCGCAGCGTGCGCAGCGTGTTCGGGCCGCACCTCTGCGGCGACGGCCTCGACCTGGCGGGCAACACGCTGCTCACCGCCGCATGGGCGCCCACCGACCAGCTGCAGGTGACGCGCACAGGACCCCCACCGCGCAGCCGCGGGAACGGCAGCCAAAGGAGACAGCTCGTGGCATGTTCTCGGCCCCAATGATGCTGCGTTTGAGTCGTGGTGTCAACGATACTGAGTTTGCCCACTGACCAAGCGAGGTTTTCAAGGGCCCTCAAGTCCCTGCTTCTTTCCCCACTGACATACACCGTCCTGCGCAGCTATGGGACGTCATGACGACGCAGCTGCTGGCCACCTTTGAGTGGGCTCAGCCGTCGCCGCAGAGCGAGGTCAGTGGGGATCGCATCCGGAGCTGTTGGCCCTTCAATGCCTTCATGTTGTATAAGCCTTGCCCTCGTAGTTCCAAACTGATTCTGCTGGCGGGCCAAAGTCTTCCGCGCCCCACGACCCATCTTGCCAAGCGCGCGAGTCTCGATATGGGCTGCATATGTGACACGTTTGTCAACTTCGGGTGTCTGTGCCGTCTGATGTTGCGGTGTGGGGTGCAGCCGTGTCGGCTGTACGCCGCGCAGCTCGGGCGCGGAGCTGCGGAGGGGCTCATTGCGGCGGGGGGCAGCGGCAGCAACGAGCTGCGCCTCATCCGCAAGGCCACTGGCCAGGTGAGCACCCCCCCGCGGCGCCGTGCACGGCCTGGGTGCATGCCGGCCATCCACCTGAGAAGGTCCACGCGCGGCCATGGCAGCTCGCGGGAGGGCAGGCCATGCTGGCATGCTCTACGTCCTGACGCCCGGGGGCTGACAGATGCGCCCCTACCTTGCAGGTGGTGGGCACCCTGCGGCACTTGGACAAAGGTAGGTGACTCGGCTACTAATTACGTGGAGCGGGGGTCGGCCCTCGCTTGCGGATTGCAAAGTCCCTGAAGGTTGTGCTTCTCTCGGCTTGCTTACCTCACAACCGTGCGATGCTACATTCGACGCAATGGCCCTCGAGCTTGAAGTCGATCGGTTTTTCCATGCCCAATAGGCAGTCTATAAGCGCTTAACGATCTACGAAAGAGCACAATCTAGTGACGATGGCAAGCGCCCTCTCCTTCTATAATGCTGATCTCCTACAATTACCCCTCGTTGATGATGAAACTTAGTTGATATCCAACTTTCAGAGTCTGTGTCAAGGAGTTGGTTCAATCGTGAAAGTACATGTCCTTGAAGCGGGTTTAACTCTTTGAAGCGTTTGTCATGTAAGCTGAAGCAACAAGACTGACAAGCAGGACACCCGTGTTAGCCCTAACGTGCATCTTCCTTGCATATTGCGACATAAAGACTCGGCACTCAAGTGTCCTTTCTTTCTTGCAGCCATCTACTCTTTGGGCTTCTCAAGCAAAGGCGACATGCTCGTAGCATGCACCCCGTCGTTCTGTCATTTCTTCGACATTGCGCAGCTTGGCAACTCATAAGTAGATATGGCGGCCTCGTAATTTCGGGAAGTCTGGCATTGAATATTATCGTGACAATCCTCACCTTAGCCGATAAGACGCGTATCCGAACGACGCTCAATCATTGGATGATGGCGTTGCCAAAGGCCGGGGACATAACGAACGTGAATTTCAAAGAGGTAATGTACTTTCGTTGTGTTCGTAATGCTACTTTCAATATTGTTTTTCATGTGCTTTCCTTGCTCTGGTCGTTTTGCCGTTGCCAAGTCTGCTGGCCCTTGGCAAATGATGGGTGAGTGCTCAAGGTACTCGGCTCTTGTCCTGAACGCTCAAGGATCTCGAACTTAGGCTGGATGGAGGCGGAAGAGTCGGGTGGATGATCACAACTAGGATATATATACCTCAAGAGAACTTGACATTCATTTGGAACCGAGATACTGTCATCCAAGCATGAATGATATGGTGATTTCAAGATTTCAAGTCGTTTAGCAGCTGCGGCAAATTTATGTTGATATTCATTGCCACTACGAGCGCAAGGTAAGGTCTTGAGCAGGCCTCCTAACATGGCGCATATGATCTTTTGAATTGTCATATGATTCGTCGTTTCGAAGCCGTGATCATCATGGCTAAGTCGACAATCCATCTACGTCCTCTGCGAGCTCGCTTTTCCAAAGCTAGATGCAACTTAACTTTCCCTTTGCATGTTTGCCCAGCAAATGAAGAAAAGCTTCCAATTTTGTATCCTCTCTGTCCTAGCGATGAATGAAAGCTTGCTCTGTTATGAGTCAGCTGAAGAGTCGTGAATTATCCGTTTCTGAGTTTTTTGTTTACAGACTTACAAAGTTCCGGTAGATTCGCTCAATATGTTGCCGAGGCAGATCTTTGCTAACTTCATGCTTTCGAATAGCAAGTCTATGGGCTTCTACTTCGGATTTGGCTAGGGCATAGCAAAGTATTTAAGAACGCTTGATTGATCAAAACTGCGAAAAGATTTAAGGTCATTGACATATGATTCCTGACATTCGTAAAGAACGTGCAGAAACATTTGGCCATAGTCCTCTCTAAAGTCGTGCATGAATTTGCCCATCAGAACCTTCCTTGGAGCAAGGCCTAACTGAGAGCATATATACTCTTGTTGCCGGGCCATGACACACGTTTCCAAGTCTTTTCTATGATCCTCGGCATACCATCCGCCCGTACAGTGTTTCGCACATCTCTTCTGACTCTGCCAAACGGGCCGGTAGACTTGCCAAAAAGTCGACATACCATTGTGAACTTAAAAGTTTGCGCCCATCGTTTGACAATGAAGGGAAACCGACGAATGTTTTCCGACGAAGTCCGCCATTGACAGCGTCAACTTCAATAACAAATTGATAGGCTCCGCGGTAAAAACGGATGGACCCATTCAATTTGTCCGTCTTCATCCTCCAAAACCGTCAACAACTTACGTAGCAAAGACTCCCACAAACCTTTGCACCGTAGCCAAGGCCCCACTATAATCAGATAACCAAACACACTTACTCTCATGCTCGCACGAGACCGCTACCGTGCGCAACTTGCGGACGTCGGTCCGCCATAATTTTAAGCCTACATTTTAGGCTCTTCCGTTTTCCTTGGTCGGACCAATTGTCCGCAGGTTGTCACACGGTAAATCGACGATTAACTGACGGGTCTTGGAGGTCGGTTTTCAGGTACTCGAAGATTCCCGTCGGATGGTCCATCAAAGTAAAACCTCGAAAATAATGCCCAATCCTCGGAAAATCCTCCCGAAGAGGCATTTATGGCCCTAAATTTGAGACAAGTAGAATGCTACTTTACATGCAAAATCAAGAGGAGGCAGGGGGGCCCGCTTGGCTGGAGGTAGTCTAAGGCCTATATGACAAGTTGCAACCTTCTAAGTTTACCACACCTTTTCCCCAGATTCCATCGCAAGCAGTATTCGAAGCCATGGTTATGGTGGCTCCTTCCAATTGGTGTAAAACGCCATCACAGCAAGAAATCAGTAGGTCCTTCGTCCTCAATGTTCGAGGCCCCGTCTTTTCACTCAAGGTACCTACTTTTCTAGTCTGGCAAGGCCAATGTCTGGTAGCCTGCAACGGGGCCTTTCTAGGCTCCAGCACCCGTTTGGATATCCACGCGACTCATATGAATCGTTGAAAAGACAACTTTGAAGAGTATTGGACGGTGCAATAGAGGGCGGTCACACCACTCAGTTCGGAATGCGCGGCCGCATTTGGTTTGCACGTCGATTTACACCGCCACGACATAATCCGTACGGCAAACAGCCAGACTTCACAATTCAGTTAAGTCGACAAATTCAAATATGTAACCTCGACGATTCGGCCGAGCTAAAACCATGCAATTCATCAAAGGTCTATGGAGGTTGGGTAATTGGGTAATTTGAAGGTAGAACCAAGCTGGAATCGAGGTGGAACCTCGGAAACACCGTGAACCATATGTCGCGCCCTAGCTCAGATGCCGTGCGCTTTACGCACAAGTAGCTCGAAACACCGTCGTTCCATTGCAAGGACTTGCTGCCTTGTGCTCATCATGTGCACCGTCGCAAAGTAACGGTCCCTTCAAAACTCTACGGTTGCTGCGGGAACGAAACTCGGGCAAATTATTTAAACTTTCAAGGATTCGCTTTTTGCCTTATTACATTTTCCTCATTAACAATTGCATTGACCTTGGCAAAGACTCCGCAATCGACGTCTTGTAAGGCCCATTACAGAAAAAAACGCTCTCATTCAAAATTTCGCTGGAAAGTTCTAGCTTTTATTGCGTGCCCAGTGCCACGTTCGTTGAAGGAAAAAGCACGCCTCCGTAAAAGCCAAAAGCGGAACCCCGACTTTCTTGAACGTTGGGTTTTCCCTCCCACGCATCGACTCCTCGAGCCCTTAGTTATGTACGAACCGAATTCAAAAGAGGATCCAGGGGGCACCCCATGAATCATATTGAGCATAATATTATAAAAAGGCACCGATTGCAATCAATATTATAACTAGAACCGTATCATCTCGGTCAATCTTCAAATGGCACAATACATACGTGCAACATCCCGCCATTGCATTCTGCGGAATACGTTTATGAATGTTTTAAAACTACGCAGGCCGTCCCATTAAACCATCTTTGCACTGCCCACGTTATTTCATAATCCTAGGAAGCCGTGGACTTTATCTTAATTCAATAGCATTTTTCCCAATATCGCCTCGAAGATATTCGCTCACATGCATGCAGTCGATGAACATGCCCGTTGCGCAGTTGAACATTCAGTGCCAAAATGCACACCGAGCTAAACTGAATTGTCGTCCCTTTTTTGGTCGAAATTCAATGACGTCATCCCGACGTCAGCCCTCGACTCCATCCTTTGTACAAATGAGTCGGGCCGTATCACGGAACAAACCTTGCTTGAAAGTGGCTCATGGTTGTATGTCCCCCCTCTAATACAATGACGCTAGCAAGCCATAGCAGCTGAAATGAGGAGCTGTATTTGATAGGAGCAAAGAAGCTTGAGCCTACTTGTGAATATACCATTGTGTAATTTGGCAAGTCACAACATAGGCTTCTGACGGACAACTACTTTGTGATGTCGTCGTTGTTGATGCACGATTGGCATAATACCGTCCCTCTCTACCTCTAGCTAGCTCGCTTTGCGCTTGCCATCGAAGAACTATAATGCGCCGGGCCCTTCACCATGTTGAGATTAAGGAGTTTTTGGTTTTAATCTCTGTTGAGATTAAGGAGTATTTGTCTTGATTACGCCCTAATATCCTATACCATTGTAGTGTGGTGGGTTCATTGTGTGATGCATAGGTTTGGTCTTAATGAGGCCAAGATTAAGGTCTTAATGTGGATGAGATTAAGATCGGATGAGGCCGAGACTAAGGCCTTAATGCTTGTGAGATTAAGGACTTGGCGAGATTGATCTTAATGTGCTCTAGAATTGACGTCTGAAGGTGGTTAAGATTAAGATCAATCGAGATTAAGACAACCAACGGAAAGAGCCCGTAGATTAAGATCAGATTAAGATCAGATTAAGATGAACGCATACGAGACCATCGAGATTAAGGACAGATTAAAAGGGAGTCGTGTGGATCGTCCGATGGTAATTGTTGGAGTAGTTGAAGCTAGGCCGTCGATTTGAAGAAGGGACCACCTAGGCTAATTAAGGACTCCAATAAGCTAGAGTAGACCTAGCTACGTGATTGGACTTGATTCGGACTCTTGATTTGTGATGGATACTCATTCCTAGTAATTGTGCACTTGAACGGCGCTTCAGACGCTTTCTTTCAACACACCCCTTCATCCGGCTTCATCGAGGTTTTGTAATGTTGCAACGTTTATTGAACGTTTGAGTCTTTTGCAAGACATTAAGCTCCTCGAGATATTCGCAATACTACCATGTGGTAATTTAGGCATCTACAAGCATCTTGATGGGAACCGTTGCGCTTCCGAAGTGGCGGCTTCAAGTTTACTCAATGATGGTGATAACAAAGCATTCTTGTCGAAAGGCCCCATGTACAATGATGTATTCAACGGGAACGGGAACGGGATTGGCTAATGAATAACCCTATATTGATGTGATTGATGGAGTTAGTAATGCAATGCTGAATATGGTTATTGGCCGAATGTTCTCGAAGATCGCATTCATTGTTGCTGTTCTCACTGGATCACGATATTTATCAACGGTGATTAGCGGTTGGCGATTAAATGCGCGCGGATTACAACTCCCGAATGACTTATTGGAATACCGCCGAAATGAGAAGGTTCGGTTGTAGCGGTAGATATTCAGGTTTGCGCAAAACTTTCGGACTTCTCTATGGTCAATTGAGCCTACTACTGTAGGCATTTTGTATAAATCTAGACTGGGAGTGTGACTCTACTTGAGTGAATCTAACATACCACACGGACTAGATAGCTTTGGTGCCGCCAGCCTCCAAACACTCTGTTGAAACATGGCGTTGTTTGGAATGAATGATCGAATGATCAAGTTCACACAATATATATCGAGTGTTCGAAGTCTAGCGGCGCTAACGCTATGCGTCTGTGTGCTATGCTAGGCTCACTCAAGTAGAGTCGCACTCCTAGGCTAGGTCTACACTGATAGCCTAGTAGGCTATGTTGACCGCAGATCAGCAAGTCCGAAGATCTCGCGCAAATCTGAATATCTACGGCTGTTATCGAACCTACTCATTACGGCGGTTATCTCAATAAGTCATTCGGGTGTAACGCTGTAACCCGCGCGCATTTAATCGCCAACCGCTAACTACCGCTTATCGTCGAACTCTCGTCGACGTCACCCAAGAGATTGCGCACACTAAATGCCCGAATCTCAATACACTCGATTTGCATTGTGTGAACTTGATCATCCAATCATTCATTCCCAACAACGCCGTGTTTCAACTAGATCATGGGCCCACGGCGCAGCACGGCGCACCACATCGCCTAAA